TTCTTATCATCATTTGGGCGTTTTAACACCCTAAAATCATAGCATAGTCGAGTGATCAATGATGGGAAGAATAGACTCTTGGACCTCCTATGGGTGGCTTCCTCGATTTCTCTAACAATGTGCTCCCCCTCGTTCACGGGTAGTCCATCCATGATAGCAGCAATTATCAGTGCCCTCTCTGGTGTCACATAAGTGTCATTTGTAGAAGGCAAGACTCTTGCACAAATAATAAATAGCCACGTCTTTGCCTCAGCAATGAAGTCATAAGAATTAACTCCCTTGTGCACTGTCAACCACTTCGGGGTCACCCCATCATCCAATTTGTCCACCAACAATTGGTTTCCTCATGCTTTTGCTCTGTCTCTGTAAACCTCATTATCGGTATTGGGAAGACCATAAATTTCGTTGATTATCTCAGGGATAAAATTGACTTGCACACCCCGCACAGTAGTAACTAAGGTTCCTTGGAAGTCGGTCCCCAAGGAGTTTGCATAAAATTCCAACATTATTGTGTAGTTGGCATCATTTGGTTGAGCGGCAAACAAATCCACCTACTTTCTACCAATCTTGTGTAGAAATCCGGCATTTTAGCTTCAAGCTTTTCCATGTTTATGCCTCTTTCCTTGATAATGGTTTTTGACAAGAGTTCGTCATATTTTCGTTCATATTCAGCAGATAAAAATCGGTCATGATCTAAGGGTTCCTCTTGTTCAGCTTCGGGGATATGTTTTTGCTCAATTTCATTGTGTTCCAAATCCATTTTATGCCCAAAGTAACTACAAAATAGACCAAAAATGTTAAAAGCTCATATAGACACTTAAAACAATGTATTACGAGGCATTTAGGACAAAGACATAGGTAAAAAAGATCCCAGGCAGAGCTGTGCAAAGCTACTGTTTTTAGCCATTTTGGGGACTGCCAGGTTTTGCTCTTCACGTTCGCGTAAGGCCCATCACATTCGCAAAGAGCAAGAAATTTTTCCCCAAAATTAGACCTTCGCATTCGCGAGCAGAACATCACATTAGCGAAGGTCATCTTCATCGCCCAGACCTATTTTTCTTTCGGGCATTTTGTCAAATAGTATGTGTGCCCTCTTTTCCTTGTTCATTTTCCAATCACTTTTAGCACACATCTCGCCCAAAATTGTACAATAATAATCACACAGTCACACTCAACAAGCCTCACCCAGCAAGCAACAACAAATTCACGCACAAGGTTGACATTTAAGACTAAAAATTTACAACCCTAAGCACAAAACAACCATGGCTGATCTTGTATTGTTTCACACCAAGAAAATGAAGAAAGAGTTAAGAGACAAGAGAGGAAATAACATACCTTGCAAATGAAAATGGAAAATTGCAATGGACTTGAAGAATATGGGGAATTTTATTTTTAGGGATTTAAGGAGGAGGAGAACTGTTCTTGAGCCAAAAGGGAATTAAGTGGCCTGTTTCCAGTGTTTATAGTGTTTTTACAATTTTCAACTTACCTGACATGTCATGTTCGCGAAGGCAGAGTCGTCTACGCGAAGAGTAAAAACTGGTCAAAGATCACGAATGCGACAAAGTTATCGCGAACGCGTAAGCTTAATATTTTATTACACATTGCATTCGCGAAGATCCATCACGAACACGAAGTAATTATTCTGCAATTTCCAACAGCTAATGGCTTTGGGTTGTCCCGTTACCTCGACCTGCTCAAATCAACTCCAAAAAATCTAAAACTTGGCAGATTAGTCCAAAATAATATACTAAGCTATTCTAAAAAGGAAAATTTGAAAAATGACTAAAAATTTTGAAAAATGATGGGTTGCCTCCCACCAAGCGCCGCATTTAACGTCGTGGCACGACGCGAATCGACTTTACCACTTTTCATGCCACTTGGACGATATCAATTGGGTACCTAACTTGGACTCAAGCTTGTGACCACGATTAATAGGGGTGGTAAGTAGATGATCAAGCTACGCATTAATTTCTTCATTTTGCATTTCTTAGCTTTCTCGTGAGGAATGTCATTTTGTCTTCTTGAATATGCAAATTGCAAAATGTATGGCTCTTGTTTTTCTTCTTTGCTCTTCCATATGGATTCGCATGGCTCAATTCCCATATCACCATACAATTCCAAAGTTGAAAAATGCTTGGAATGCAAACTCAAGCCTTCAAATTGCAATTCTTCCTGGATATTGACATCGTGTTTTTCCCCCAAATTAGAGTCAACTTTAACCATATTTTCAATTACACCGATTGTCTCGAATTCCATATTTTTCTCGGCATCACTAACAAGTATGAAGTCGGTTGGCGGATGTTCAATTCTTGATTCCTCAAAATAAAAGTTCACTTTCTTCCTCGAAGTTGGACTCTTCATGACCTCTTTCCACACTTTCAAATTGATAGGCATAATGAGCCTCAATCAATGATTTCATTTGATCTTCCAAATTGTGGATAGTCTCATTATTTCGATGTAGTGCTTGTTTTAAGTCCTCGAGTGCCAAGATTTGCTTCTCCTCATTTTCAAGAATGGCCTCTAACATGAGCATAATCCTCTCATTTTGAGCATTTGAGAGTTCTTCTTGGTTTTGATCAAGTGCCAAAGAATGATTTTTGGCTTCAACCTGTAAGGAAGGTTCTTGGCTATCATTCACTTTCGCGGCTTTTCAAACCTATAAAGCTTCAAGTATTTTTCCCATTTGTACGTTTAGCCTTTTAAGCGCCAAATCATTTTGGAAACTATTTTTCAAAAGCTCCTCTAAGGTATTTTGCTTTTTGTTTCCTCCTTTAAGTAGGAATTCTAACATGAGCTTGAACTCTCCATTTTGACCATGCTCAATTTCTTTCACTTCCATATCCCTATAATTTTCATCACAAAAAGTAGAATCATCATAGCGGGGGATCGAAGAAGGAGGGACAAATAAGCACAATTATCCCAATGACCATTTTGAACACCACACTTATCACATATACTCCACTCATGGGATTAGATATCAACACCTATTTGAGACTCCAGTTATGTTTCTAGACCTGTTCGAGGACGAACGTTTGTTTAACAATGGAAGGATGTGATGACCCGGCCTGTCATTTTGAGAGTTATAGCCTCATTCCCCTATTTCTTGCTTCTTTTGTGTTCTATAGTTGTATTATGACTTACTGGGTTAGTTGGTTCAGGTCCAGAGTGATTTTGGAGGGAATTGAGACACTTAGTCTCTTAATTGGAAGTTTAAGTGAAAAAGTCGACCGGATGTCGACTTAAGTGTAAACGACCTCAAATTTGAATTTTGATGGTTCCGATAGGCCCGTTAGGTGATTTTGGACTTAGAAGCGTATCCTGGATGTGATTTGGAGGTCCGTAGTAGGATTAGACTTGAATTAGCGAAAGTTGGAATTTTGGCGAATTTGACCGGCAGTGGAAATTTTGATATGGGGGTCGGATTGGATTTCCGGAAGTTGGAGAAGGTTCGTGGTGTTATTTATAACTTGTGTGCAAAATTTGAGGTCAATCGGACGTGATTTGATAGGTTTCGGTGTCGTTTGTAGAATTTGCAAATTTCAAAGTTCATTAGGCTTGAATCTGTGTGTAATTCATGTTTTTGATGTTGTTTGAGGTGATTTGAGGATCCGACTAAGTTCGTATGATATTTTGGGACTTGTTGGCATGTTTGGTTGAGGTCCCGAGGGCCTCGGGTGAGTTTTGAGTGGTTAACGGATTCTTTTTTATCTTTGGGAGATAGCTAATAGCTGCTGGTATTTTCTTCTGGTTTCCTTATACGCGATCGCATAACTTCATCCGTTATCGCGTAAGCTAATTTGGGGTAGAGGTGATTTTTTTCTATGCGGTCGCAGAGTAAGGAACGCGATGTGTAAGTGTATTAAGTTGTGCTTCGCGAACGCGTGGATAAGGTCGCATTTGCGTAAGAGTAATTGAGCAGAAGAGGAGGTGAGGCAACTGTTCTACGCGATATCGTGAGGCTGGACACGTTCGCGTAGGTTTGAGAGGTAGTGATTCGCGATCACGTAGGTTATTTCGTGTTCGCGTAGGCTAAAAGTGTGGGCAGTCTGTTTTGTGCTTCCCGATTGCGAGGATATTTCCGCGATCGCGATGAAGGAAATCTGGGCAGACAATATTAATTTTAAAATTGAGGGTTTGAGCCCATTCTTCATATTTTGAGCCAGAGACCACACGGATTCGGGTGATTCTTGAAGGGATTTTCGTAAAGTTGATTGGGTTAAGTGATTCTTACTTGGTTTTGGTTAAATCCCTTGATTATATCTTTAATTTTATCATCTAATTTATGAATTGGGGTGAGCAATTGGGGAACAAGAGGAAGAATTCTTGAGTTAGGATTTTGAGGTTTTGAATGGAATTTTGTTATCGGATATGAGTAAACTTGGTATGGTTAGACTCGTGAGTGAATGGGCTTTCGGATTTTGTGATTTTTGTCGGATTTCGATACAAATAATAGTTTTTGAAAACTCAAATTGGAATTCAAAACTTCGAAGCTTTTTACTGGCTGTCAATGGTGGAAAGTCAAAATTTATTAATTGATAATTTCAATTCGAACACCAATTGTACAACATGAAAGAAAATTGATAAGTTAAAACTCTCTAGTAATACGATGGAAATCCATTGATGAATTCCATTAAAACTATATACAACATGAAAGGATAAAAAGCATAGAACAACAAAGGAAGAAAAAATGGGGAAAGAACAGAGAATGAGAGATTGAGAGATAGAGACAAAAAGAGAGAGAGAGAGGGGATACTCATTTAAAATTAATTTGTATATAACTGATAAATTTTATATAACCATGTACCTAAGTTAAAATTAGGGAGGGTAAATAAGTTTTTTATGTAGTATAGATAGGTAAAAATCTCTATTTTTATGTAGTAGTTTTTAAATATGTAAATTCTTTTTATAAAAGGAAACTTTTTTTATGTCCAAATTCCAAAAAATTGGTTAGTTTGATGCTTTCTAAGAGAAAAAGATTATAGTAGTAGATTTTTCTTGTTCCAAAAGGCCAATGACTTTCACTTGTCATTTAACACCACGCTATCGTCCGGAACTGAGATTCCATAAACCCCTTAAACCCCTTAGCCGTAGAATGACCATAAGGCTCTTCAGATATGCTCGTTTTGTTGGTCATCCTTTCAAAATCTCTTCAAGATTCATATGCTCCGAGAATAACCTTGTTTCATTGGTAGACCCAGAACTGAGATTCCCAGAAAATGAATCTTTTCAACAAGAAAAGAAGATGGGTGGTTCATTTTCAGTCCAAGAAATGGATTCAATCTTGGGTGCTGAAGTTATCTCCAAAGATGAGATTGGTAAGTTTTCAGATGATGCTTTCTTGATTATAAATGCTATAAGGAAGGGTAATGATGGGTTTGGAGAGAGAACTGAGAGAGTTGTTAGGCATTTTAGGGAAAAGCTCAACCCTGGTTTAGTGGTTGATGTGTTGAGAAATATACATAACCCTGAATTGGGTGTTAAGTTTTTCATGTGGGCTGGTAGACAAATTGGCTATGTGCATAATGCATCTGTTTATGATGCTTTGTTGGATGTAATAGGGTGTGATGTCCCATTACATTTTGTTCAAGATATAGGAAAAAATGATAGGGAAGTGCTTGGCAAGTTGCTTAATGTGTTGATAAGCAAGTGTTGCAGGAATGGGTTGTGGGATTTAGCATTGCAGGAGCTGGGAAGGCTCAAGAATTTTGGTTACAAGCCCTCGGCGGCCACTTATAGTGCTCTGATTCAGGTGTTTCTGCAAGTAAATAGATTGGAGACTGCATCTTTGATATACAAGGAGATGTCAGCACTTAACTTTAAGATGGACAAGCGTACATTAAATAGCTTTACGCGATCATTGTGCAAAGTGGGTAAATGGAGAGAAGGCCTTGATTTAATTGACAAGGAAGAGTTTGTGCCTGATACAGTGATTTATACTAATATGATTTCAGGATTATGTGAAGGTTCCCTCTTTGAAGAAGCAATGAATTTTCTCAATATAATGCGGACTAGTTCGTGTATCCCTAATCGTGTAACATATGAAGTTTTGCTTTGTGCACTTTTAAACAGGAAAAAACTTGGTCGTGTCAAGAGAGTTCTTAATCTTATGATTTCTGAAGGTTGTTATCCAGGTCAGAAAATATTTAATTCTCTTGTACATGCATACTGTAGATCAGGAGATTACTGGTATGCCTATAAATTGCTCAAAAAAATGGATGGCTGTGGCTGTAAGCCAGGATACGTAGTTTACAACATATTGATTGGTGGTATTTGTGGCATTGAGGAGTTACCAAGCAAGGATGTGCTAGAATTGGCTGAAGATGTGTATAATGAAATGCTAAATGCAAGACAAGTACTGAATAAAGTCAATGTGGTCAATTTTGCACGATGCCTTTGTGGATTTGGAAAATATGAGGAGGCTTTTAATGTTATTAAAGAAATGATGAGCAAAGGTTTTATACCTGATGTCAGTACATACTCGAAAGTTATTGGTTTTCTTTGTAATGCCTCCAAAGTAGACAAGGCATTCCTGTTGTTCCAAGAAATGATGAGGAATGGAATTATTCCAGATGTTTATACTTACACAATTTTGATTGATAGCTTTTGTAAATCTGGCCTTATTCAACAGGCTCATAATTGGTTTAATGAAATGATTGAAAAGGGTTGTACTCCTAATGTAGTGACTTACACAGCTATTATCCATGCTTACCTCAAGCAAAGGCAAATCTCAGATGCAAATGAGCTCTTTGAATTGATGTTAATGCAAGGATGCGTTCCAAATATTGTCACTTTCACTGCTTTGATTGATGGATACTGTAAAGCTGGACACATAGAGAAGGCTTGCCAGATCTATGCAAGAATGAAGGGGAGTCTAGATACTGCTGAAGTAGAGTCGTACTTCAAGGTTGATCTTGATGGTAATAAGGAGCCAAATGTCGTTACATATGGAGCTATGATTGATGGTTTGTGCAAAGCACATAGGGTGAAAGAAGCTCGCAATCTTTTGGATGTCATGTTAATGGAAGGATGCGAGCCAAATCATATTGTTTATGACGCATTAATTGATGGGCTTTGCAAGGTGGGTAAGCTAGATGATGCGCAAGAGATATTTACCAAAATGTCAGAATGTGGATATAGTCCGAGTGTTTACACATACAGCTCTCTAATTGATAGGCTATTTAAGGATAATCGTTTGGATCTTGCTATAAAAGTCTTGTCTAAAATGCTCGAAAGTTCTTGCCGCCCAAATGTCGTTATATACACAGAGATGGTAGATGGCTTTTGTAAAGTTGGTAAAATAGATGAAGCTTATAAACTTATGTTGATGATGGAAGAAAAGGGGTGTCATCCAAATGTTGTGACCTATACTGCAATGATTGATGGATTTGGCAAAGCTGGAAAAGTGAGTAAGTGTCTTGAACTCATCGAAAGGATGGGTAATAAGGGTTGCGCACCAAATTACATAACCTATTCAGTTGCAATAAAGCATTGTTGTGCTGCAGGACTTTTAGATGAGGCTCTCCAACTTCTTGAGGAAATGAAACAAATAAGTTGGCCGAAACACATGGCCAGCCATCGTAAGGTTATTGAAGGTTTGGAAAGAGAGTACTTAATCAGTCTGGGTCTTTTAGAGGACATGGGCAACAAAAATTCTCTTCCAATTATTCCAGTTTATAGGGTTCTAATTGATAGCTATCAAAAAGCAGGAAGACTTGAATTTGCCGTGGAGCTACTTAAAGAGGCTTCATCATCTTTGCCATTTTCAAATCTTGATAAGAAAATGTACTCTTCCTTGATCGAGTGCCTTTCTGTTTCAAACAAAGTTGAATTGGCGTTTGAATTATATGTAGACATGATAAAGAAAGGTGCAGTTCCAGAGCTTACGGACTTTGTTAACCTCATTAAGGGATTAGTAAGCATGAATAGATGGGAGAATGCACTTGAACTCTCCCAGAGCTTGTATTACATGGTCAGTACCTCTTCGTTTCAGCTCTGTCTTTCAATAGATATAAGAAATTATTTGTTGGTTTCATATGTATTTTGTACGCTTTATAAGTTTTGAAGTTCTGCAGTTAACGTTTCCAATGTGGTCCGTGTTGACATAATAAACTAAATCCAATAACAGAAGGAGCTGGTAGAACTAAACCTATTCCTATAAACATAAGAACAGAATGTTTCAGATTCATAATATTCATCATCTCTAAGATAGGAAAACTTCGTTTTGACTCTTGATTTAGATCCCAAGTGTTAGAAGTAGGAAAGAACTGTATTTTTTTTTTTTTTGGTAATTAAAAAAGAACTGTATATTTATGTACACATTCCAGTAGATTCTACCTAGTGACTTTAACGCCGTGAGAAGCAGCTCATATGTTTATCTGTGTACACTCTTTAAAGTACATGTTCTTGTGTGGTTTTAGTGTTCTTAATCCACTGAAGTTGCTATGTTCTTTGTTGGTTTCTGAAGCCTTTGCGTGTAATTCCTTGGTAAATATATGTAAATGTTGAGGTTCTTCCTTCACTTCCTTTTTCTACCATTCTTTTTTCCCAGTTACATGCATCGAAATCCACCACCATTCGGCTCCTTTAAAGGTCAAGAAATGATACGTTGAGTCTATCTCATTATGAGGCACTACCTGTTGGCACCTGATATACATACTTGGAGCTGCACTAGTTGACAGGCTGCAGTTTGACCTTGTTATAACCAAGTAAGTAGCATATACACAAATATCACAATCTCACTAGCTTTGCAAATTATTCTCGTCTCTATTTTTGATACATTTATTTGACGTATACTTGATTGTTAGCTTGCTATTAGAGTTTCTGGTTTGTGTTTCCCATGTGTCTGTATTATTTCAAATATTTTCATCTACCTTTCATTTTTATATAGCTTGAGGAAATTGACGACCATGGCAGGATTCTATGCCTAGCTTCAACGTTGGACCATAGGCATCTGAATGAATTACTTACCCCCACCCCCCAAAAAAAGGAAAAGATATTCGAATGAATTACTTGCTACAAAGAAGTTGGGTCGTACAGTTTACGATGGCTTTCTTCTAGCAGTGTTGGAGAACAGTCAAAGAGGATATTATGAAAGCGATATCGCCAATACCGTACTATAAGGAAGCATGAAAAGAGCCTCAATTCTTCTTTTATTGCGAAATACAAAAGAGCGAATGGGCATCAACATTAAGAGTCTACTGGAAAGCATCTATAAAATTTTTGCATGTTGCTTTCCGTTTTGACTTAAGAGAATGTTAGACTCCATTGTTTCAACGTCCCAAAATGGTTTTGTAGAAGGGCGACAGATACTTGAAGCGGATTCAATTGCAAATGAGCTTGTGGACTAGAGATCAAAAACTGGAAAAGTAGGTGTGCTTTGCAAGCTGGATTTGGAAAGGCGTATAACCACATCTATTGGGTTTTCAGGAGTATGTAATGGGGAGATTGGTTTCAGGAAAGACATAGACTTTTGGCATATCCACATTGAGATTATTAGTTTTGGTCAACGAGGTTTTGCCTAAGGCAAAGAGTCCCCTTGTTTCACATGCTATTTTTTTGGTTAAGAAAGCATTGGACAAGATAATGAATAGGGCGACAAGGGTAGGTTAGTTCAGAGGCTTCAAGGGCAACGGAGGAGGCAAGATAGCATACGGGCGTACCACCTACCATTCGCAGATGATACAGTAGTGTTTTAGTGTTAGAATCTAAACAGATCTCTTCTATGCTTCTAGGCAGTCTCAAGTTTGAAGATCAATTTAGGGAAGTATGAGATCTTTCTGGTGGGTGAGATTGAGAATATTGGACAGCTAGCAGACACTTTTTTTTGATGATGCTAATAGATCAGCCCATGGGCATCTTGATGCTGTCTTGGTATGAAACGATGCTTTGAACACACAAGGGAGGATGAATCAAGTAGAAGTTTCAATATGGGTCAAGAAATATGCTGAAATTATGCAAGCAGCTTGGTCTGCATGCTATGGAGTACAAAGATGATCTATTAAAGTTTTTTTTACGCATTGAAAAGAATAGGTTTGATAGAAATTCTAGTTCAGTGAAAAGCCCTTTGCCGAAAAGGTAGAGTAGCAGAAAGCTAAAGCAGCTATTGGAATTCAATGTTAAATTTGGTGAAAGCAAGAATAGAGGTAGAAGTTTTGTCACTGATAAGAGATGAAGCCGAAAATTTTCTATTGGAAGTTTGGAAATTTAGGGCATTACACAATAGAAACAAAAGGATGATGATAATACTAATGGTGCATAAGTGGAATTCCGATATATTTTGCTTCACTAAAACAAAGCTTAAACATTATAATTCTTCAATCATCAAACAAAATGAGGGAAATCGATGGATGAATTTGTTTGAAATAGAGGCTCAAGGTAATAGTGGGGTATCATCATTATGTGGTATAAAAGGAGATGAGACTGTTATGACAGCTTCTTAGGTATCAATACAGTTTCTGTATGGATGGAAGAGCTTAACACTGGCTTCAAATGCTTTCTTACTAGAGTATGGGCCTTGTGATAGAAAAACAGTCGAGAATTATGGAAAGAGATTGCAGCTGTAAGAGGATTGAATGAATTGTTCTGGGTCATTGGAGGTGATTCTAGTTTTGTAGGTTTGAGGATGAAACAATTAGTAGATCTAAAAATGCTAAATTGATGAAAGACTTTTCTAGATGCTAAGAGATTAGGGTGCAAATCATTTAAAAAAATAAGATAAGGTGTGAACTGCAGAAGAGCGCATACATTAAGGGTGCAAATTACAAAAAACCCCATTGATCTTCCTCTCATGGGG